AGGCAACATTAGCGGCCCCTTCTGGGGGCAGTGGACTCGCGGCTGGGCAGGTGTGAGTTCTGGAGGGACCTGCAGAATCCACTTCAGGATACTGAGGTAAGCCTCCCTAGGCACCAGCCTCTGATCCAGCCCAGTCATCAAGTCCAGTCCTTTAGCATACAGAGACAAACAGCCCAGAGAGGTTAAGTGACTTGTCCAAGATCACACAGCAGTCAAATAACAGAGCCAGGACTAGAATTTAGTTCCATCCAGGGTCCCTGCGCCCTCTGCTGTTGTGTCCTATGTGTCCAGGCTGACCGTCAGCACACAGTTCAGGACAAGCTGAACCCAAGCTCCACTTTCACAGAATCCCACCCTGCACGCTGGAAGAACTGGCATCTGTGCGGGTGGGGTAGTGCACATGGGGCTCCTGCCAACCGGAAGCAGTGACTCCTCTCTGGGGCTCCTGCTGGGGGGCTGCAGCCACGAGAAAGGGAGCAGCTCACCCGGAGATGCTGTTCTTGGCTTGGGCCCTGATGCCGCTGAAGTCCCCTGTTCTGTTTTGACTCACGTCCCTTCAAATGCCAGAGGGAATGGAGGAAAGAAACCGAGAAGCCATGGGCCCCTGCTGGATCTCGGGGTGCACCCTGGGTGCTGGATACAGTGCCCATCAGTCGGCTCCTGTAACCCCAAGGGAGCAGACATGGCCCTAGTCTACAGAAATGGAGACAGGCTCGGGAGTCAAAGCTACCTGCCAAGACGTGGCAGGACTGGACCTACCCGTGCTTGCCTCTAGCACCAGCAGCCCCTTGGATTCCACCTGCAGAAGGGGGCCAGGCCTCCCCGGAAGGCAGCAGGACCCTTGGATGCCACTTCTGCAGGAGCAGACAAGAGGCCAAGGGGTGGGCTGGTGAGATGACTCGCAGGAAGCTGAGCTCAGGCGGTGAGGGTGGCTGGGGCCCAGGGGAGCCCCACGCAGGTGCTGCTCAGAGCAGCCCACGTCTCAATGTCAACACTGTTTGCACAAGAAAGCACCCAGGGTGGGGCAGGGGTTGTCTGCTTAACACTGAGCCATCCAACTTGCATGCACACACACACTCAGCTGCCATAATGAGCCCCTCCCAGCCCCAACCTGGGCAGGGGCATGTCCAGGCTCCCTGGGGTGGGACAGTGTGTGTGCAGAGACAGGGTGTGGTAATGTATGTGTGTGTGTGGGGGGGGTGGCTTCTGCCAGCAGGTAGGATGGCTTCTCTCTGGGGCTCCTGCCGAGAGGCTGCAGCAGCGAGAAAGGAAGCAGCCTGGCCCCTGGTGCACCTGCCACACGGGACAGAGCAAACTTTTGTCTCTGTCCCCAGCCTGCCAGCCCCTCCCTGCCTGGCCAGAGAACCCAAACTCCAACTGAGGAGGCAAAGAGGTACATTAAGCCCTTGGCTCGGAGCCTGCTGGCAGAGAGCAGGGTCACGGCACCATGGACAGTAGCAATGCTTAGAGGTGGTGGCTCTGGCCGGAGCTCTGGCAGCCACTCCAGGGCTGAGCCATCAATGCCTCCATCCTTCCTGAGCCCACCCAAAGCACATCTGTGTACCACGACCCCTTCGAGAAGGGGAGGTGGGGAGGCCTGTTGGAGGGGGTGGGAAGGGGGATGGGGCTGAGCTGAGAAGAAGGTTGTGTGGACCGGGGCTCGGGGTTTCAGGTAGGGAGCCATGTTAAGCAAGGGCAGGGGCCTCCAGGTTCTGCAGGGCAAAGCAGCTACAGTCTGGAAGCCAAAGCTTGTCTCGGGGTGCCCAGCCAGCAGCCATCAAAACCAGGGAGTGCACCCAGCCTGCCGATGGGTCGGGCAGACCAGTGGTGCATGGTGCTGATGGGGGAAGCAGGTGTTTCCCTGCGGCCACACCCCCACACCCACCCGCCACGGCTTCCAGCCCAGGCTCTGTGGGGGCCACGGCAAGCTTACTAGCAGGTTCTCTGCCCAGACACCCAGGGGGCTTAGTCTGTATGGAGGTGCCCGGAGAAGGCTGAGTGGGGGGGGGTCACCACGGCAGTGGTCCAGGTGAGACAGGTGAGGGAAGGAAGGGGCCCCGGTGAGGGAGACAAAGGCGGCGAGGGACACAGGAGGAATGTCACGAGTGGGGCTGAGCTGGAGGACTCGGTGACAGATGAGATGTGAAGCGTGAAGGAGAAGAGAGAGCCTGGGGAGGCTCCGAGGTTTCCAGCCCAGGCTGGAGGAGGGGGCAGGGGGAGGGGAGGGGTGGGGTGCCCCTGGGGAAGAAGGGGCAGTGGGAGGGGCTTGGTGTGGTCGTGTGTGTTCCTAGGAGGCGGCTCAGCCCAGCCCAAGAGTCTTCACCTGGAGGAGAAGGGGTCCCCCATGCCCAGCTCAGGGCATGCTTCCGAGACAATCTGGGGTCCAGCACAGCATAGCAGGCAGGAGCCAGGGAGCTGAGCCAGGCAGGCGCCCTGCTCCCTGCCAGAGCCCACGGCGGCCCCTCCAAGAACCAGGCCATGCTCTTGGCAGGGGTGAGTGGTGGTGGTGGGGGTTAAGGAGCTGGATCAAATGCCAATCCCAGGCTCCTAAGGGAAGCCCCCCAATCTAGGAAAGTAGGGAGCAGGCAGCCCACTCCCCTTGCCTGCCACCCCCCCAGGAGTGGGGAGGCTGTGTGCCCACTGTGAGGCTGGGGATACGGGGAGAACCCTGCAAGGGTCTGGCCCGGCCGTGTGTGAACTGAAGGGGCAGGCTTTTGTGTGAGTGCCATGCGTGACGTCGGGTGACAAAGGGTGGCCGCTTGGCCTGGGGAGCAGGTGGCTGCGGTGTGGGGGGCGGGCGGTGGGGCGCTCGTGCTGGCCCCGGCGCCCCCTGCCGCCTGGCTGGCCAGCCCTCCCTCAGCCACTCGGACACATTTGTCACCAGCTGCTACTGCCTAGGAGAAGCGGATGGGCGGGTGCAGGAGGAGCTGGGGTCACGGCAGGGGCAGTCTGCCTGGGCAGCCACATGTGCCCAGAGCCTGGAGAGGCAGCAGGAAGGGGGCCCAGGTGAGCAGGAGGGCTGCCCCCAGCCCTGTGCCCTTCGGCAGTATAGGTCTGAGAGCCTTTGATGCCTGGAGGTGCCCAAGGCAGCCCTGTGGCACCGGTGCCCACCTGCCAGGCCCCAACAGGTGCCCCTCCACCCCACCAAACCAGGGATGCAATCCCCTCCCTTCCACCACGGGGCTTCCTGAGGAATCCATGCAGCAACTCACGCCCCCCCTCCGCCACTCCAGGCTGCAGCACCCCAACTCACCAGCACCTGTTACCCCCTTATCTATACACACTCACCTGAGCAACAGTGCACAATCAGCACACACACTCATCTGGCTGCATACATACCTGTGCTGCGCATGCCACATCAACCCCTTGTCACCCGGGGCACACATGTCAACCCACAGCCCTCTCACGTGCTCACGTGGCCACACGCAGTGGCGAACACACGGCCCGTCTCACACACACACACCCAACTCGGTAAACAGTTCCTGGGCATCTACCAGGTGTCTGGCGACACCCCTTCCCGGGGTGTGGATCATCCACTGCACCCCACCGGTTCACCATGGTCAGTGGTGCAACCAGCAACCCTGAGTGCCACACACACTCCTAACATGCACATGTGTGCAACACACTCTCTCAGAGGCAGCAGCCTCCCAGCACGGTCAGGATTAGCCGGGGAGGCTGTGGGGAACAAGGGTTTGTTAAAGTGAAGATTGGGGGAGCGATGACGGGGAAGGGGATCGAGTTGGGGGGTGCAGTAGAGGCAGGATTGGGCCGCATGGGGAGGGCAGACAGGCAGCAGCCGTGCAGGACGCTCTGCGCAGGAGACCCTGTAAGGAAACAGCCGTCAGCCTCAATCATCCTGCTGGCCCCTGAGCTCTCACTCATTGATCTCGGATCAATCTGCCTTGGCAGCTCAGAACCCCTAGGCTCCCTTCCAACACCCCTATGATTAACTGCAGCCTGGCCGGGCTGGGGGCAACCAACACGCCTCCCCACCCGGTTCGAGGGTGAATTCCCAGGGTAAGCCCCACACCCCCTTGACCATACACAAATGACCCCCTGTGGCACACACAGGCTCAGCTCTGCTAGGTGTATGGTGGGGGCAGAGACCAGGAGGCCCCTAGAGCTGGGCCTAGGAGGAGGCTCAGGGCTCGCAGACAAAGGATGCAGGGGCAGTTCCTCCCCCCGCAAGTCCCCTCACCACCCGGAAAGGAGGTGGGCTGAGGGCTGAGTTACTGGCAGGTGAGGGTGGCCTGCAGCACCTGCAGGGAGGAAGAAGGGCTGGGGAGCCTGAGGGAGAAGGGGAAGCCGGTGCACTGAGCTCACACAACTCTGGCCCCCCTGGCGGCACCACGAAGGCCAGAGGAGCCACAGCCACAGCCACAGCCACAGCCAGCCGGGGGCCACTGGGCTCTGGCTGCACCGCGCGAGGCTGCGAGAGCTGGGGGCTGGCGTATGCGCCTCCACGCCTGAGTGTGTGCGTGTGCGAGAGAGTGTGGCGGGGACAGAGGAGGACACAGTGTTCTGGACGTGGGCAGAGGCCAGGTGCCAAGCGGGGAGACTGAGTGGCTGGGGCAGATGCTGCCGGGAAGAGGTGTCTTCATCCCCCCCCCAACATTTCCTGGGTACTAGGATGTGGTCAAGCCCCTCTCATCTTTGAACCCTCAAAGTCAGGCTGTAAAGCCCCCCGCACTGCTTAAGGCCCGGCAACCCAGCAAACTTCCCCCACCCGGGGGCGTGGGGCGTCTGTACTCGCCAGCCCCGTGCGCTGACAGCTGCCCGGGACTTGGCAGAACCCAGGCTTCCGGGAGAGCGCGCGGGGAAGCTGCGCAGCAGCGAGCGGCGGCCCCCGCGTCCCGCCTCGCAAAGTTTGGCCTCCAGGGGCTCCCAGCCGGGTCCGGCTGCGCGGGTCAGGGACCACCCCCCACCCCGCTGGAACCGCGAGCGTTCGCGCGCGCGCAGCCCCCCGCAAGCCTCCCCAGAGCGCGCGCGGCGTGACTCACCCGAGCCGCCGAGCCAGGAGGCGAAGACGATGCCCAGGAGCGCTGGCCACAGGCCGGGCCGGACGGCCATAGCCGCGGGCAGGCGGGCCGGGCGCGGGGCCCCGCGGGCGGGAGGGAGGCTTTTAGCGCCTCAGCCTGGAGCCCCACCTCGGGGCGCCCCCGGGGCCCATGCCAGAGGACTGCGCTGCCTCCGGGCGGCCGGCTGTGGGGCGCACGCGGCGCGTGGCTCCCCTGGGCACCGGGAGCGCAGCAATGCAGCCGGGGCGGAGCGCAGCGCCAGCTTGCGGAAAGCTGCCCAGGGTAGGGGGGCCCCGGGCAGGTTCCGCTGTAGCCGTCTCCCCCCTTGCCGCTAGCCGCTCGGTCGCCATCCGAGGCCGTCTGCGAGCCGCGGTGCGCTGCCAGCCCGCGGCGTGGACAGGGGACTGCGGGCGAGTGCCGGGGTGCGCGCAGAGGTGCCCCGGCCCCCAGTGTCGGGCAGACCAGACTCGAGGCCACAGGCAGCCCCAACCACGCAGCCCAGGGTGGGTCCCAGGGGCCTGCCTCAGAGCGTGACCCAAGGCCTCTCTATAACCCCACGGCGGGCGCCGCTCACAGAAGGAAAACAATCGAAGGGCGCAGCGCAGGAGACTGGGCGCACGGTGTTTGCGCCCCGAGCGCGCACGGCGCCGAGACGTGGGCGTGAAGGGGCGAGCTAGGTTTGCGAAGCCGGAGGTAGCGGGCTGGGCTGGGCGCCTGCAGCTTCCAGCTCCGTGACCTTGGGCGAGTCACGTCGTCTCCCGGAGCCTCCAGCAATGACCGCTACTGGCATCGCCTCTTCCCCACCCCCATCCCTAATCGGGTTAAAATAAACAGAGGGCAGCCTTGAAGAAGAAAGGAGGCGACAGCCACGCTCCCAGGGCGGGGAAGAGGGCCGTGCTCTGAAACAGAGGATCCCGGCTCCGGGTCGGCAGGATCGCGAGAAAGGGGGCAGGCAGGGTCGCAAGCTGACACCCGCGGGGCTGGACGACAGGAGAGTGGCCTGCGCCTCCACAAAGAGATAGCAGTGCTCCTAGATTTCTTGAGACACGAGGCCCTCTCTCGGTCTGTCTTTTGTTTTCCACTTTTGATAGAAAGGTGATGAGAAAATATTTTGCTTCTTAACTCTACTATAAAAAAAAAAAAAGCAGACAAAGCTCCAGGTGCCCCACACCCCCACAGATACGGGGCTTTCAGCGCCAGGGAGGCAGAGCCTGGCGCTGGCAGACAGGGCCCCTCTGCTGCAGGTGCCAGCTATGGGGGAGGGGCCGGGGCCCAAGGGTGGTCATAGCTTCCAAACTACCCATAGATGCTGTTGGGTGTAAAATCTCCAGATTTAAAATGTTTAACTAATAAAACAATTTTTTATCTTCATGGGGGCCAAAATGAAAATGACCATCAGCTTCTGGGTTTGAATCCTGCACTGGGGCCCATCTGTGTGTATGTGGGGTTGGGCACTGATCTCCCCACCGGGAGGTTGTGTGTTGTGTCGGGAGCAGTATGTGCCCATCCTGCTCCTGTTGGCACCGTAACACCTATCTCAATTCCCTGCAGAAAACAGGGGACTGGGAGAGATGAGGCAGCAACAGGGTTTTGCTACATGAACGGCCTGTGGTATGGAGAAAATGACAGGACCTGGGGTTTTTGGCACTGGAGGTGGACGGTTGAGCATGAAGAAATAGGGGTGTCCCAGTGGCGTATGCCAGACGCTGCTATAGTCTTGCCTACTTTGGAAATTTGGCTCAGTCTTCACGGGCAATCCTGTTCCATAAGCATTATTATCCCAGTATACAGATGAGGACTGGGGAGAGGGGATGTCTGATTGCCGTGGGCCCAGCTGGTTGAAGGACCACAGGGTTAACTGAGATGGGTCCCTGGGATGTCTGTGCCTGTTACACTTTTTTTCCTTCTACAGTTTCTGTTATGGGATTAGAATCTGGGAATCAGGTTTAGAGTCCAGGAAAGTAAAAGGAGCTGCTCCTGTGTTCAGTGTGGCTGCTCTGTTCACTTCTCTGCCCCTCTGTCGTCAGCCAGAGCAGAGGGGACTGTGCTACAGTCAGGCGAGATCCGGCCATGTGTTGGTAACACATTGTCCCTGTGTTTCGGTGGCTTCCATCAGCACAAATGTTCTCTCATCTGTCTGCCCTGGGTCTGCTGCTCAGGGTCACCCTTACCCAAGGCCCCAGGCTGCTAGCAGCCGCTCACTGGAATTCGGGAGGTTCACCCACCAGCAGTCCGCGGCTCAGCCCAGAAAGGACACGTGTTGCTTCCACTCATAGCTCATTGGCCCTTCTGTTCTCCAGCACCCAACTCCTCCCCACCTCCAGGCCTCCCTATTGGCTGCTCTTCATAGAACATTCTGTGCCCAAGCCTTCATGTGTCACTCCAGCCTTGTTCAGCCGTGCCCTTATAAATGATACTCAGAGAAGGCGGAGTTGGGGGGATGCCCTTGCAGAGAGTGGGGCATGGTGGACACCTCCTCTGAATTCTGCCTAAGAAGTTAGCTCAGAGGGCTGCCAGGGACAGTTGGTCTCCGAGCCCGCTGTCCGACAGCCAGGTGGGGCGAGGGCTCCTGACAGCTCCAGCCTTGGTTGCTCTGGATTCTGCCCAGATCCAAACCTTGACCGTGACCTTGAACATCTACCCTCACAGAAGCCCCAGACTCAAATGGAGGATGGAGGGCCAGTCCCATCGGGACGGGATCCTCCAGCAAGTCTGTGGTCCCCTTTTGTAGATCTCCCCTCTAACTACTCTGCTGGCCAGAAACATCTCTCTCTAGGAGGCTGGATCTGTCCCTCATAGAGTTCCCTTTCTGGGGCCACACTACACATATCTGCCTCCTTTTTTGCTTTGATTATTTCAGAAGACAAAGTCTGAGTCTGCCTTGAGTTCTATCTCCTGCAGGTCCCACAGTTCTGCTTCTGTCACTGGCACAGTTGCAGAGTGCTGGTTTTTTTTTTTTTTTTTGCAAGGGCCTCCCCAGCCCACCCACCCATGGCAGGTGCTCTCCTGAAGGGAGTGGGCCCATTTCCTGCCCACCCAGAGGGATCCGATCAGCTACTGTGATGTTACACTGCTAATACCTACTGGGTTGGGGGAGCTCAGAGCACATGCATGGAAGTTCTCATGCTGCCTGTTGAAATGCAAAGCTCCGTGTGCCTAGGAATCTGCATTGTAACCAAGCTCCCCATTGCCTAGCAGATGACTGTCTTGCCACTTGTGTTTTGAAGAGCAACACTGCCCTTGGCCTTTACCACACCTGGGTGCTTCTCATCTACTCTGGGGCCACTGGTTCCCTGCAATTAAATTCATCCCAATTACATTTCTTCATAATCTGTCTAGTCCTGCTTCCCCGTGTGGAGCCCACAAAGGAAGTGGGTGCTATCAGGCAGGGTGGTTGCTGTCGTCTTCAATTTTCTGTCACTGCCTGATGAGATCAGGAAGTCATGCGTACTACTTGTAACCAAGTCTTCACGGAACAGGTTGCTGGAGGCAGGACCACGGACAGAGCCTGTGGCTCCCCAGAAGACTATCGCGCAGGTTGCACTCAGGCATTGAATTAATTTCTCTCTGGTGCATGCTCTTTTTAAAGATTTATTTATTTGAAAGATAGAATTACAAAGAGAGAACAAGACACACACACACACACACAGAGACTTCATCCATCTGCTGGTTCACTTCCCAGATGGCTACAATGGCTGGGACTGGGCCAAGCTGAAGCCAGGAGATTCATCTATGTCTCCCCTGGGGGTGCAGGGGCCCAAGCACTTGGACCATGGTCTGCTGTTTTCCTAGGCACATTATCAAGGAGCTGGATAGGAAGTAGAGCAGCTGGGACATGAATTAGCACCCATATGGGACACCAATGTCACAGGCGATGGCTTAACCCACTATACCACCATGGCAGCCCTGAATTAGTTTCCTCTTCACTCATTCCAGAAGCCTCTGCATACATCATTATTCAGCTCACTGCTCAATGTCCCACCCACAAAAGCAGGCTGACTCTGTGGGCCCCAGACTTGCGATCCCCCAGCTTTGCCCTGATAGGACGTGCTCTTGGAGAGCTCACACTGGCTCTCTCTCTTTATAAAAAAACAGGATGTTGTAGATTGTGTGGCTTAAACAACAGCATTTTAAAAGATTTATTTATTTATTTATTTGAAATATAAAACACAAACACAGAGAGAGAGAGAGAGAGAGAGAGAGAGAGGTCCTCTATCTGCTGGTTCATGGCCGGAGCTGCGCCAATCCTAAGCAGGAGCCAGGAGCCTCCTCTGAGTCTTCCCATGCAGGTGCAGGGATCCAAGGACTTGGGCCATCCTCTACTGCTTTCCCAGGCCATAACAGAGAGCTGGATTGGAAGTGGAGCAGCTGGGATTCAAACCAGTGCCCATATGGGATGCCGGCACTCAGGTGGTAGCTTTACCTGCTATGCCACAGTACCAGCCCCTCACATTGGCTCTTGATGATCCCTGCCCCAGTCCAAGCATTCACAACTACCCACTGCTCAGTATGTGGTTTCTGTCTTCTGGAAGCATCATCCTGTCTTTCCTTTGAGGGGTCACCCCTCTCACCTTCAGAGCACAAGATTCATGGGGGGCTATGACAGCCCAGTCCCAAATGATGGCAGATGCTTCTGATCTGTCCAATCAGCATTCACTATTCCCTGGACCAACATGATGGTTCAGCATGATCATGTGACCCAAGCCAGGCTACTAGGGCTTATTTCTGGGAATTTTGTTGGAATCAAGGAGAGAAAGAATTTCTTTTCTTTCTTTCTTTCTTTCTTTCTTTCTTTCTTTCTTTCTTTCTTTTCTGGACTGGAAGCAAGAAAGAAATGATCTGATCTTGGCGCTGCCCCAATAAGTGAATGCCTGGAGAAGAGAATGATGCAGAATTCTGGCTTAGTGTTCAAGTTCCACCTGCTCTTAAGGTTGCCAGATATACCGCTGGCTTTTTCAGCTACATTGGCCAATATGTCTCCCCACCTTTTTTGTTGTTGTTTGGGCCTGTTTTGTTTTAGGAGATTTGCACTTGAGAAAAATATGCAAAGGGTCCTCCCCTGTGGAGCTGGCATCCCATATGGATGCCAGTTCTAGTCCCGGCTGCTCCACTTCTGATCCAGCTCTCTGGTATGGCTTGGAAAAGCAGTAGAAGATGGCCTAAGAGCTTGGGCCCTTGCACCTATGTGAGAGACTCAGAAGAAGCTCCTGGCTCCTTGCTTTGTATTGGCCCAGCTCTGGCTGTTGCAGCCATTTGG